TATACCTCTGTAGGAGAATAAGTGAGAGTTTTATGACTAAAAATTTTGAATTCATCATGTTCAATGTTCTCAGTTTTACAGATGTACACATATAAGACCAAGAAAGTTTGAGTAACTTAAAGTATAGCAATTTCTGTTCTAAAACATATTAGTCAGGGACCTTGATTATAATACGAAGGAAAACCCCACCTAAGGTAGTAAAATTGGAATTTATTCTAAGCATGGAAGGATTTCTTTTAGACTCCGGGGACAGGAATAGAGCTGGGCCTAGCAACAGGAAAAATGAGGGTATTGGGGAGCACTCCCTGTCCTCTTGTCTTAGCTTTATTCTTCTTTCTCAGTTCACTGGCTTTCTCTGATAGTCAGCCAGCATGGCAGGCAGAAGTCGGTGCCCACAGCTGCTCTTCAACATATTCTAGTCCTAGTCATACACAGTCGGTGCGCCTCTCTTTTTCCCTTTTCTAAATTCTTGACAAGAGAAAGTTCATCTTGATGCCTGTTTCCCACCCCAATCTGACCTTATGTGACTGGACAGGATCACAGGGTGGAAGCTGGCCTACCTGGAGTCCCCCTTAGTGGGCTGGGTGCCCAGAGGAATACGAATGGGTGCTGTATTTTTAGGGTCTTTTGACTCCCAGTTTACCAGTCATTCTCCTTTTCTTTTCTTTTTTTTTCCTTGCTTCTTTGCCCTGTAATGATTCTCCCATAGTAAGTATCTGGAACCTAGATTGTTGCTTTTGAGAAAGCATGGTTTCTCCTTTTTAAAAAAAAAAATTTTAAATTCAAGTACCATTAACATACAGGCGTATATTGGTTTCAGGTATACAATATGGCGATTGAACAATTTTATACATTTCTCAGTGTTCATCAAGAGAAGTGTACTCTTCATCCTCTTTATTTCACCCATTACCCCCCACCAGCTTCCCCTCTGGCAACCACCAGTTTGTTCTCTGTATTTAAGAGTCTGTTGTCTCTTTTTCCTTGTTCATTTGTTTTTAAATTATGCATATTAGTGAAATCATATGATATCTGTCTTTCTGACTTACTTTTCTTGGCATTATACCCTCTAGGTCCATCCATCTTGTTGCAAATGGCAAGATTTCTTTTTTTTTCTTTTTTATGGCTGAGTATTATTCCGTGTGTGTGTGTGTGTGTGTGTGTGATATCTATATATGTATAACTCCACAGTCTTTATCCATTCATCAGTCAGTAGACACTTAGGTTGCTTCCATATTTTGGCTATTGCAGATTGGTACAGCCATTGTGGAAAACAGTATGGAGGTTTTGCAAAAAATTAAAAATAGAATTACCATATGACCCAGTAATTCCACTTCTGGGTATTTACCCAAAGAAAACTGAAAGCATGAATTCAAAAAGATCTATGTACCTCTATGTTTACTGCAGCATATTATCTCCTTCTAAAAATTTCCTTTAGATGGAACCTTTTTCAGAAAGGTGAATGATAGCTGTTTGAGACCTAATCTGATAGTAACAGCTGTTGAATAGAGAGGGTTACTTGGACAAGGAGTGAAATATATGGTATTTTAGGCACTATCAAAATAACAGATTAATAAAAGACAAAGTAGTCTACTCTCAAGTATATGAATGCTAATGTCCAGTCTTGTACTGCTGAATCTTCATTAAATGTGACCAATATCTTGACTGATGTTAGAGTGCGAATTGGTGATCCTGAGAAAGATAATGAAATATCAAATATTTTATCAGTTTAACTTTCTGTGTTTTTTAATTCCAGTTATTCTGAAAATTGATCATTAGTGTGATGTGGGTAGTCCTCTATTAACAAAAATGTTTGATTATTCAGATGCCACACTGTATGATGTTCCTTTTGCTCCCAGTGCTCAGTTGTGTACAGATGCCTCATATCACTTGGAAAGTTCTAAGCTCTAATTCTAATTTTACCTTTAAAAAATAATTCAGGAAAAAAAATCCTAGTAGCTTACTTTGATCTTGAATGTATTAGTAAAGTTGTTCTGCCAAGCATTGCTTACGGAGTCTAAAATATTTTATATCTCTTTTCCAAATGATAAACAGCCCTCTTGTGTTCTGCCTTTCCAAAACAAAAGTATAGCTTTTGAATTAATGGAGTACTAATAAAAAAAAACTTGATAATAATTTCACCTTATGCATACTTTGCTGTCTTAGGTAAGTAAACATACTATGTCATTTAATAAATAATACTTGAAGGTAAGTTAGGGACAAACTGGGACAAGAGCACCTAGGATGCCTCTTGGTAAGATGGGGAATATGGAAGAAGGAACTGATTGGGAGAGGGTAGAATTAGGACTATTTTCAGACATGATGATTTTGAGATCCCAGTGGGGCACTTAAGTATCTAGCGGACCATTCACCACTGGGACAGAGATGGTCAAGTTATGGGTAGAGGTGGGTAATAGGAGAAACCGTGGGTTTAAATGAAGTCATTTAAGGAGACACAGTGTTGAGATGAGAAGAGAAAAGGTCTGAGAACAGAAGTCTGGGGGGACACCAGTGTTCATTCCGGAAACATGAGTCCAAGGAGGAGATTCAGAAGTAAGCAGCCCAGGAATAGGAAGACAGTTGGGGAATAGTACCATGAAACAGAGCAAGTGATGAGCCAAGGGAGGAAGTCATATTGCAGAAGGATTCTGAGAAATAGGGGCCAGTATTTAATCATTGGATTTGGCAATTAAAGGGTTTTTTTTAAACCTTTAATTTTTAAAATGAAATTTCAGTTTTTAAAATGAGATTTTTTTAGAAACGAAATTTCAAAAACAATAGTACACTTTTGTGGCAGAGAGATTAGAAAACACAATTTAGCAAAAGGGAAAAAATTAGAACTGCTTGATATTCTACCATCCCGAGATAACCGTTTTTAACATTATGTTCTATTATCCTTTCAGACATTTTTCTTGCTAACAAAGGATTTTTTTTAAGATGACTTTAGACTGGGATAACTGTTGAATCAATGGGTTAATAGGTCAAGAAATTAAACATAGGGTGTCACAGATAACATATTGATGAAACAAAGTAGAACAATACAGTGATAGCCTACTCACTAGGGTGGAGAAGTAGTGCTTTTAGCATGGCCATGGAAGCTGCCTTTTCACTGCCACATCGGAGGGCTCTGCCAAATCCAGGGTGCGGGAGGGATTCCCCGAAAGGCACATACCTCCATGCCTACCACAATGTCTGGCACACACGGAGGTGTTCTTGTGGCAAGTAAAGGAGGAGGTATTGGTGGTAGAGTGGGGAGATCAGAAAGGAAAGCACTTGGGAGATTGGGTCTGATACTAGAAGGTCTAAGCAGGAGAAGGACAGAAAGTAAAGTTTGGGATTGATAGGCCAAGTGAAAAGAGAGATGAATGTTAAGCCAGAGTGAAAAGTTGACAGTTGAGATTTTAGATGGTAACCGGTTTTAGATTGTGGTGTGTTCTAGCAGGTAGGGGAACACGGTTTTAAAATGGAGTAAGCGGGGAGGCTGTAGGAGTTGAGGTGGCCAGGGAAGTTGGACTTTGTGGGTTTTGTATGAGTGATCTTATGTGAGCATTGAAAAGGTGGAGAACAGGAGCCTTAGCCGGATGCCAAGGTTGTCCATGAAAATGGGGGTGAGGGTCACTGGTGAGGATGTGGGTATGTGATCAGTGACAAGGAGCAGTAGAAGATGGATTTTTATCTGAGTGAAAGGCCATGTTTTAGAAAAAGGACAGTAGAAACCTAAAAGAAGGCTTAGAAGGTAGGCTTAATAAGCTACAGAAGAGTATTTTTTTGTAAGTTTAAATCAGACTGTGGAGAAAATTTTGTGACCAGCAGAAGCTGGTAGGGGAGTTTGTTTACTCTGAACCAAGGTTCCACAGGGCAGACGAAAAGGGTAGGGAGGGAATTTGGGATGGGAGGAGGCCCCGGAGCTGTGAAGGATGAGAGGAGAAGATAAGTGGCCCTTGGCCTGGCCGGCAGGGTGGGAAGGAGAGTAGTTGTGTGAAAAGGAGAAAATTACTTTGCTTCAGAAACAGTCTAATAAACTCAATTAGTTTATTCTGCCCTAGAAGATCTAATTATCATTCCACTCTCTTGGCTTCATTTCTCTGATAGGCAAAAATGTGCTTTCATTCCTTTCAAAAATTTACATATTTATATTTTAAATATATAAATAACATGTGATCATTGTTTTTTTAGAATAAGGTTAATGAGGTAAGTAAAAAAGAGAAGGGGGTAAATCTCAGTTTCTTGAAATCTTACTACCTGGGGATATCATTTTGGTATCTGTTCCTCCAGACGTTTTCTCATCTCAACACACCTGTGTGTATTTAATTTTGGAAAATGCACCAAGTAAACTGCAGTTGTCTGCTTCATTGTTTTTTTCACGTAACAATACCTAATAAACATCCTTTGTCAGAATAGGTAGATTTCTGCCATCGTTTTTAGTTGTTACAGTACTCCATTAGAAAACTACACCACATTTACTTCATATACTCTGTTGTTGGGCTTTTGAATATTTTCCAGTTTTTTATTATAAGTTATAAGACTAGAAAGAAAAATCTTCTGTGTACAGTTTGGCATATTTATCTGATTATTTCCTTTGGGTAAGTTCCTAGGTTTTTTCAAGGTCAACAGTGGTACTTTTTGGTTTGATTTCTTTTTTGTTGCTTTTTCTCATAATTTAGCATTTGGCTGACAAATCCTTTTTGTGTTGATAATTTGGGGACATAGTGAAATATATTCGGTGAACGGTGTAAAATCAGAGGACTAGGCATATATTATTTGTAAGTTAACAATTTACCATCGTTTGATAGATATGTAATAGACTTTTTCCCCAGGTAGGGAAGCCAAAAACATTAGCCTGTAAACCTTTAGGTTGTCTTCTCCCAAAGGGCTTGTACATTTAAGACTTAGGCAGTGGAATTGAGATAATTATGAAAAATTGTTTAAGCTCTTAAGTTAATAATGTCTTCAGAATGCATGGAAATGATTAACACAGTTTTCTTTGATTGCCTTTTTTCCAGGTGATTCATGGCAGGGGACGTGGAAGGATTCTGTTCCTCCATCCATGACACCAGTGTCTCTGCTGGGTTCAGAGCACTGTATGAGGAGGGATTGCTTCTTGATGTCACTCTGGTTATTGAAGATCATCAGTTCCAGGCCCATAAAGCACTCTTGGCCACCCAGAGTGATTACTTCAGAATTATGTTTACTGCAGACATGAGGGAGCGAGATCAGGACAAAATTCATTTAAAAGGTCTAACTGCCACTGGTTTCAGCCACGTCCTTCAATTTATGTATTATGGAACTATAGAACTGAGTATGAATACTGTTCATGAGATCCTTCAGGCTGCCATGTATGTTCAACTTATAGAAGTGGTGAAGTTCTGCTGCTCTTTTCTATTAGCAAAAATCTGCTTAGAGAATTGTGCAGAAATTATGAGACTCTTAGATGATTTTGGTGTAAACATCGAGGGAGTCAGGGAGAAGTTGGACGCCTTTCTGCTAGACAACTTTGTGCCACTCATGTCCAGACCTGACTTCCTGTCTTATCTGAGCTTTGAGAAGCTCATGTCTTATTTGGATAATGATCATCTGAGCAGGTTCCCAGAGATAGAGCTGTACGAGGCTGTGCAGTCTTGGCTGCGGCATGATAGAAGACGCTGGAGACATACCGATACCATCATTCAGAACATCAGGTTTTGTTTGATGACCCCATCCAGTGTTTTTGAGAAGGTTAGTGCATTTGAAAGCAACAGACAGGACTCACCATTTAGTTGAGGTAGTATGTCTTTATAGGTAAGATTCCCAGGTTTGGTCAGGAGCTAAAAAGAATAGTTTATAAGAATAGTTAGTGGATAAGCAGTCTAATGTGTTGTAGCTTGTACATTTAGGTTTTTAAAAACACATTTTGTGGGGGAAAGAAGAACCAGGTAGGTAGTAGAGTAGTTTTGTTTTAAAAGTACTTTTAAAGTTGAAGCATAATTATTTAACCCAAAATATTCCAAGTTTGCTTTAGCTTTTCTTTCTTTTCACAAAGTAATTAAATCTGAATTGGGTCAGATTAGCTCTGTTTTTCAAAATTAATTTAAGTAATACATGAAGAAATTAGAGTTGAGAGGAGTTTTTGTAGTTTTGAATGATGTACATTAAGGCAGTTTTGTATTCCTCTAAAATGTAGTGAGTAAACATAAAATAGTTCTTGAAAAGCAGTAGGCCCTAGTGGTGATGCTTCCCTACCCTTACCTAGTTGTTTCTTCCCTACTCTTAAGTAGTTCTGTTTTTCCCGTTTCACTATGAATACTAACTGAATTTAACCATGAAAACATGTTTAATGTCTAAAACCATTGTTTTGGCATTTCTAACTAAATAGACTATAAATCCTCTGTCGACGTTGATCAAACAGCCCTGTGCACATTTTACCATGTAATAGTTCTGTTGTTTGAAAAATAGTCTTTCTCCAAAACAGCCTTGGCCTTTTCGCATGCAAGCATCTTTCATTTTTATATCAGAGTCTCACTTATGATCCTTTCTTGCCAAAAGGAGAGAAAGCAGTTTCAATAATTGCTTAACTTAATTGGTTTCTAATCATACGGTTACCTCTGGGGCTCTGTTTACCTCTTGCATCTTTTCCTCTTTCTAGAAAGCACACTTAAAGCTTTGGTTCAACACCCTTCATGTTAAATAGTTCTTTAGCTTTAGTTACCACAAGTGGTGATAAAAATATAATATTTGCAAAGGAGGGTTGTTTACACCATTTGAAAAATAAACAGATTTGCCCCTTCAGATAACACTCAGCAGCCTGGCATGTCCCCCCCCCCCCGAAATGCTGTGAAATATCATTAACTTATACTTTTAATAGAGAACCCAACTTTATGGGATTTTATCTTCATTCTCAGAATGCACTGGATCTGGCTGAAATAATTGAAACTAAAGAATACATTGCTTAATTACTTTTTGTTGGGTGATAATCGGCCCCACGTCAACTCTGTAAATCATTTGTCTCTGATAACGATTTTTTTCCTTACTAAAGTTTTTATTGTTCTCTTTCTCTGGAGAATCCTGTTTTGTCTTTATGCACTAAATGCAAATGCTCTCCCACTGCTTAAACAAAACCCTCCAACTTTAGTTTAGGTGGAAGTACTGGTAAAATAAGAAATAAAATTTCTCCTTCTGTGGGACAATACGATGGATAATTGCTAGCAGTAAATGATTTTTAATTGCTGAGTGCTGAGCCTTTTTATGTTCTAATTACCAGTTCAAGGTGGTCAGTAGTGACAGTGGCTGAAATGAAAGTTAATACCATCGGGTAGTTTTGTAAATTATATGAAACATCTCTTGTACCTTCTGATGGATTTTGTTTGCTTCTATAGCATAAGATGTGATTATTCACCAATGGCCCAGTATTGGGTAGATCTCCTCAGAATAAAAATGTTAAGGCTTCCTTCTTGAGTTAATTTCTTAGGAAAACTTAATAAGGCCCTGGCCAAAGAGGGAGCTTTGTTTTTTTGTAATATAGTAGAAATCTTTTAGTTTTATTTTAGTAATACCGGTAAGATAAATGGAAAGTAGTCAGTGATTCTTGTCTTAGTGATGTATGAGAGTTACTGCTTATCATAGTAATCTGTGGCTTTCTCTTTTATTTTACTTCCAATAGAGTTTAACATACATTGTTATATTAGTTTCAGGAGGAATGTATGGCTTTCTGAATGTTGAGAAACATTTTTGAGAGTTTATCTCTAGAAATAAAACTTCATAAACCAAACTTAAATGGAAAATTGGGTTGGGAAATAAGAATTTGAACTATTTTGCACCGTACTATTTTGAGCTCCCTTGAAAATAGGGCCCATCCATTTTTCCTTTACTTAGTATGCTGCAGGTCTCAAACAAAGCCATTTTAATATCCATTATATATGCACACTGCCAGAAAGGGCACAGAAATAAAGACATGTTACATCTGTGCTGGTCCTTTTTTAGTATGAGAATCTACATGGGGTCCTTTTTTAGTATGAGAATCTACATGGGGAAAAGCGTAGGCAGTTTTGATTTGTGGTTTTATCCTATTTGCTGAAATTTAGAAAAACGGAATATTGATAGGTACATTTTATTTTTATTTTTATTTTTTTTAAGATTTTATGTATTTATTTGATAGAGGTCACAAGTAGGCAGAGAGGCAGGCAGAGAGAGAGGGAGAAGCAGACTCCCTGCTGAGCAGAGAGCCCGATGCGGGGCTCGATCCCAGGACCCTGGGATCATGACCCGAGCTGAAGGCAGAGGCTTTAACCCACTGAGCCACCCAGGCGCCCCGGTACATTTTATTTTTAGCTTTAAATTATTAAAAACTTCCTATGACTTTCTAAACATAAAAAAATGTCTGAAAGAATATTGGAATGATCACCCATAAACACATCCTTTAGGTTAATACTGTTACCATCTTGCCACTTTGGCTTTAGCTGTGTAAAACCATTTCAGAGAATGTTGTAGACATTATGACACTTCATCCCTAACTGCTTGAGCGAGCAGCTCATCTCCCAAGAGAGAGGAAATTCGACATAACCATAATACCATTGTTGAAATTAACAATAATGCCTTAATGTCATGTAATAGGCTCTTCATTTTGTGATTTTTCTCACTTGTCCCCTAAATGCCTTTTTTTTAAGCTGTTTTTTTAAAGGATTTAATCAAGGTTCATACAGCATATTGGATTGTTAGGTCTCCCTTTGAATCTGGAACTGTCTCTCCTTTTTCTTGTTTATGATGAGGATGTTCAAACATGAAAAGATGGAAGAATAATAGTATAACGTACCTCTGTAGCTGTCACCTAGGTTCAAGAACTGCCCTACCCAAATTCAGTGCCATTCCACTTCAGTTAATCAATAATAATACCATGTGATAGCTAGTCCACATTCAAATTTTCCCATTTCTCAAAGTGCCCTAGAATCTAGTCATTATTTATGTACTGCTTTTGATTATCACATCTGTCTAATCTTAATCTAAAACAGTCCCGCACTTTCTTTTTTATTTTTGAGAAAGGTCAGATCTCTGATTGTCTTAGTGTGTCCCACATTCTGGCTTTGTCAGATTATTTCTTTGTGTTGGTGTTAACTTAGTTCCTCTTTTCCTTAGGTGTCCTGTTAACACATCTACTTTTCAGCATTGTGTTTTTTCAGGAACAGTTACAGGGAAATATTGTCGTGATGCCAAAGAAGTCTTGGCACTTAGCAGCTCTAATCAAACTTAGAATTTACCTTTTTTTTTTTCCTTAAGAGGCTAAGTAGCCTGATCCTATGACTAAGATAATCAAGAATCTTATTCACAGTATTATTAGATTTCTTTTAGATTGTTAAAATTTCCCTCCTTTAAAAAAAATGGAGAGCCTTTCCATTCAGTTTGATGGGATTAAAACTAGCTGAAGTCAAGATTAAAAGATTACTCTCTAATAAAAAAAATTAGTGTATAGCTATGACTCTAGAATTGCGCTGTTCAGTAGGGTTACTGCTTGTGGCTACTGAATACTTAAGATGTGGCAAGTCTGAATTGAGATTTTAACAATTAGGATGACAAAAAGGGTGTAAATAACCTCATTACTCATTTTTATATTGCTCATAGCTTGAAATGATATTTTGGGTATACTGGGTAAAATGAAACACATTATTAAAATCAACTTCAGGTGCCTCGTTAGCGGTACCTAGTAGGTAGTAGGTAGCACGTCAGTCTCATAAAATCAACTTCACCTTTTTACTTTCTTAAATGTGGCTCTCAGAAAGTGTACAATTAATCAGTGGCTCACATTTGTGGCTCTATATTTCTGTTGCACAGCGCTGCTCTAGAAGTTCAAGGAGTGAGTTGTTCATTAGAAACTCTCTGAACAAGAATATGGCAAACAGTCTTTCTCACATATTAGACCCTTTTCCTGGTTTCTCAGCCTTTCAAGATGTTCTGCATGCTCTAATGTTGAATGAGCTTACATACCTACCTGTTCTTTAGCGCGGCTGATGAGGTTAACTTGAGTGTAGCATCTCTTCGTCAGGATCCCAACCCTGGCCTTAGGAAAATAAAAAGCAAGTGAACAAAGCTTGGTGGAAGGAACCTGTGTGGACTTTAATTCTTTCTTTGGTGGTAACAAACACATCTGAGCAGAAGCTTCGTAGTGAGGGAACGGAGCCTTCCGCCTCTTATCAGGGAATAGCCCTTTTCCTTGCGGGGACCTGAGTCTTGTCCTCCAGCTATGCTGAAATCTTTTGAGTTTATGCTTCTGTAGTATCTTTCTCCCTCATCCTCTACTTTTCTCCCCAGCTGAAAATAGACGGTCTTAACTTTTGTACTGAGTACTCTGTGGGACCATCACCAAAGAGATCGTGGCTTCCAGATTTCTTCACTGAGTTCCTTAGAAGACACAGGGTTAAGCACACGCTTTTGCACCTCACGGTCCTCTCCCTCCCTGCTCTAGCAGCCATCGTAGGAAGCCCTTGGACCAGGAAGCGAGCAGACCTGGGTTCCACTCTGAGCAGTGCCACTTGTTCTGGGATAAGATTCCTAACCTTTCTGAGCCTGTTTTTTAATCTGTAAAAGGGAACTAACCTATAGACTCAACCTTTGTGTAGAGCTTTTGAGGCACAATCTGACATATATAAGGTGTTCTGGCCCAGCTTGGGTCGTTTAGAAGTTGCTAGATAGTCATGAAAATTCAGTTTGTTTGCATGAACAAAATATAGCCAGAGAAATTTAATGGCACT